TGTCTCCAGCCATTGATTCCTAGAGTCCCGAGGGCCCCAACCCGGGAGTCTGCATCTCCCTACCTGACTCAGTTTAACTGTCAAGGATTTCATGGATTGATGCCATGTTTTTGTTTGGCCACCACTGGCTCTTTTCCAACCTGAACCTATATCAGCTAGCAATGCCCGTCGGGGGAGGCGGTGGTTAGGCATGCGCAGCACGTGACCTAGCCATCTTAGTCTATGTAACTTTATAGCCTCGTCGATTGATTTTCCCTCTTTGCCCAACACTCTACGCCTAACGTCAACATTACTTACCTTATTAAACCACCTAACGTGAGACAGAGATCGCAGACATCTATGATCGAAAGCAGTCAACCTTTTCATGTCTTCAACGCGTATTGGCCATGTTTCAGAGCCATAGAGAAGGACGGAGCGAACTGATGAGCAGTACACACGTCCCTTGGTTGATAACCGGATGTCACGCCTACGCCAGAGATGGTGTAAGTCAGCGAAAGCAGCTCGAGCTTTTCGGATCCGTGCTGAGATTTCATCGCCAATCAGTCCGTTGGTGCTAATACAACTTCCCAAATAGGTGAAGTGGTCAACATGTTCTATCACTTCACTCCCTATCACTAAGTTAGGAGTTGACGTGGTCCAGTCCTGTAGCAGCATCTTACATTTTGCAGGGGCGAATCGCATGCCAAACATACGAAGATTGCTGCTCAAGGTGTTCAGAAGACTCTGCATTTTGTCAGCATCCTCCCCTAACAGGACTATGTCATCTGCATATTCTAAGTCCATAAGATTATTCCCTGGTAACAAGTCGATTCCTAAGTCATTACGTTCAGTTAAGGATACTTCCATTAGCATATCTATGATGAAGTTAAACAGAAATGGGGAAAGTGGACATCCCTGTCGGACACCACTGGTTGTTACCAATTCAGATGACAATTCCCCATAAGCCCTTACACGACTACGTGAGTTTGAATAGAGTGCCTTGATTAGTGCAATGTACTTTCTTGGCACTCCCTTCACAGTCAGACATTGCCATAGTACCTTTCGATCCACGGAGTCGAAGGCCGCCTTCAAGTCAAGAAATATGACAATTGTTGGACGCCGAAAAGTGTGTCTATGTTCTAGAATCTGTCGAAGAGTGAAGATATGATCTATGCACCCTCTACCTGGTCTAAAGCCTGCTTGATTTTCCCTTGTCTGTTCCTCCCGAGTTCTGCTTAGTCTATGCATGATTACTGAGCCTAGGATTTTAGAGACTATGTTCGTTAGGCTGATCCCCCTATGATTATCACACGAGGACTTGTTTCCCTTCTTGAATATCGGTATAATAAGTGACTTACCCCAGTCTGATGGCACTGTCTCTGATTCCCAGACTTTGCCTAGTACCTCAGTTAATCTACAAACTAGTATGTCACCCCCATATTTAAACACCTCCGGAATAATTCCGTCGGGTCCTGCCGCTTTGCCTCGTTTCAAATTACTGATAGCTTTTGTAACCTCACCTACAGACGGCGGACCAGTGTCTATATCCCATTCGGGTGTGTGGTGGATGGCGGGGAGGTTCAGTGTGGCTGTAGGCAAGTTAAATTGTTCCTCAAAGTGTTCTTTCCAGCGTTCAAGGCGTCTATCCTGAGAGCTAATTAAGGAGCCATTTTTCTCAGAAATAGTCTCACTTATGAATTGCCTTCTCCCACCCGATTCTCTGATGAGTCTAAAGAGTTGCCTAGTGTTGCCTATCGCCGATGCTTTTTCCATCTCTTTTGCCTTTGTCACCCACCACTGTTCACGGTCCTTGCGGAGACTTTTAGTAAGTTTCCTTTTGTGCAGCTTTCGCTCCTCATTGAATTCGGAGCTCGCCGGAATAAGTCTTCTAGCATCTATCAGTTCGGATGAGGCAGTCGAAATCCAGTGGTTTTTACTCACCTTTGGATTTGCCTTATTCACAGCTTTTACAGCTGTATCTATAGCTGACTGAATATTCTTCCAGGCTTCTCCAGGGTGAGCACAGCTGTCGAATTCAGATATGCGTTTAGCTAGTTCTTCCTCAAATAGGGATTTAGTTTCCTGATCGAGCTGGGGACGTGATGGTTTTACCGCCAGCTGTTTCCTACGTCCGTTCAGTCGTAAGCACACACGAGCCCGGACCAGTGCGTGATCGGTATCTACACACGTGTTCCAGAAGGAGCGACAATCTCCTACCGACCCACGCCAACGATAGCTTATTGCTATGTGGTCTATTTGTGTCCAGCGTTGGTTTGATGATGGGGGTCGCCAGGTTAAACAGTGTCTCTCCTTGTGTTTAAAGTTAGTGCTTACAAGAAACAAATGATTATCTGAACAGAACTGTAGGAGACGGTCACCGTTGTCGGTTCGCTGGCACGGAACTCCATAGGTGCCACCGACATCCTTCTCAGATTGACACAATTTCCCTACTTGAGCGTTAAAGTCACCAGCTAGAACGACTATATCTGAGCGTTTAGCCTTTCTCACCAAACTAGACAGCTTTTGGTAGAACTCATCCTTCGTTTCATCCGAACTGCAGTCAGTGGGGGCGTAGGCGGAGATTACGAAAAGGCATCGGCGAGTAGTGCAGTCCTTTCTCCTTCTTACTGATCCGTTCAGACGGACAGCACACATTCGGCTATCTACCGGGATCCAGTCAAGCAATGTCTTTTCTGCCCTAGTACTCAAAGCTATCCCTACGCCAGCTAATCCTCGTGAACTAGCTGTGGCATCTCCTGACACCCTCAAGGTGAATTTTGAAGATTCATCCTGTTGGCCAGGTGGGGTTAGGTGAATAACCACACTTGGGTCTTGTATGCGTGTTTCTGAAACACAACATACATCAATGGCTCGAGATGCCAGGGTCTTAGCTAGTGATGCTTGTTGTCCTATTTGGCAAAGTGTCCTAACATTAAATGCTCCTATATGAAATTGGTGGCGTGGCTTTAGGAGGCTATCGGTGGTGGTTTTTTGGCTTCCATCGTTTTTAGTGGACGCAGAGTGAAGAGGGAGTGGAGAGCTATCAAGTCGAGGAGTTGCATCAGTGGAAGGAAGGCAAGATGATAGAGATGAAGATGAAGACAAAGATGAGTGAGTAATAGAGAGGTTTCGTGTGCATTTCGGATTGTGAGGGCGATTGTTACTTCCCGGCTGCCCACACCGTGGAAGTTGGTTGCGTGACCGCAGAGCCCAGGGGACAACTGCTTGAGGCCGGTCACACGCGGCCTGTTTTTGTTCGTTCTTTTTTGTTTGGTGTGCCTCAGTAGCATATTTATCACTCCCGCCCTGTGACACGGCAGCAGGAAGCGCGGTCGTTGTTAATCCGGGCCACGGCCGATCCGGCATGAAATTTTGTGAATTTGTATTGGACATGATATTGGATTGGGTAGCTGCTTTTTGTTTAACCGCTATCCAAACAACCTGCCTGGCATGGTAGAACCTCAAGAGACATAAGTCTCAGCCAGTATAGCTTGATTAGGTCATTGCGGTGTTCAAGCCCGACCACCACGTCAAGGTAGCAGCTTTCGGTCGGGCCAGCATAAATGTGAGGAACCTGAAAGAAAAAACCTCCTTTACCTACCTGGGAAGCATCATTTCAACTACAGGCGGAACTTATGAGGATATCGAAGCAAGAATCGGGAAAGCGAGGCAAGCCTTCATTACACTCAAGTCTGTGTGGAGGTCAACAGCACTCCACTCAGCATGAAAAATAAGATCCGAATTGTCAACTCCAATGCGAATTCAGTCAGTGCTACTATACGGATCAGAAACTTGGCGCGTCATACAGAGCACCTCAAACAAACTACAGACCTTCATTACCAGTTGTCTTCGCTCATTACTCAAGATCAGATGGCCGGCCAAAAAAAATCAGCAACAGGAATCTCTGACCATGAGCGAATCAACAAGGAACCGATTGTGAAGCAAATAGGCAGGAAGAAATGGAGATGGATTGGTTGGCCATATGCTGAGGAAACCATCAAGTGACATCATTAGACAAGCCATTGCTCGAGTGAAACCCGAAAGGGAAGCGGCGAGTTGGTCGTCAGTGCAAGGATGACTTGGAGGAGGTCATGTGAAGAGGAGATGAAAGCATGTGAGGGGACTTAGAGCGGGGTGAAAACGTTGGCAGAAAACAGAAGGCAATGGAGATGCGCAGTTGAAGGCCTATGTTCCTCTAGGAATTAAAGGACATAATATTAATAATAATGATTTGATGTTTCTACATCGATGATCATCTCTTTATATATGTACTACTGATAAGTCTTATCAGTAGCACACGCCACAATAGAACTGTGACAATCAAGACAGAAGTTCACAATATACGGATTTATATCTTTCTTTAACAGCTTGTTAATTCTTCACATTTCCTGAGGTTGCCAAAATACAAACACACTACACTGTTCATCATCTCATCAAGTGTTATTCAGATATCTGTTTAACACCTCTGATTACAACCTGAAATCTGTATCTAACTGTTTAAGATTCCTTTTTCATTTGTGCACTGACTTCATTGAAGAAAATTATGTCTAGACGACATAATTCCTCCTGTAAATATGATGCAAAAAATATTTATGAGATGATAATTACCAATCCACCAATTTTATTATTGATTTCTTGTCTTCTAACAAATAAAAGTGATTGATCACCGGAGAGAAGTGAAGTTTGTCAAAATCCAGCGGCTCCTTTTAGGTTTTAAGCAGTAAACCCGAAACAAATGACTTGAAAACGCTAACAATCATTCCAAATAGACCAATCAGTTAAAAAAGAGGGTTAGTTAGTATCACCTAACTTTGAAGAAAAACTCAGCTTTAAGGCAGCAACGTGATAAAGATCACTGTGCATGTATGACCTTACTTAGTTCAGTTAGTATACAAGTTCCCTCGCGACATAACTGTAGTTTTGTTCTAACTAAACCGATTAACAAAAGGCCAAATAGTTCATAAAACTGTTTTGTTTATTTAACACAACAGAAAAAGGAACAAACAAAGAACTACCGGTACCTTTATCTATCGATTTTGAAATTGCATCGTTGACTGAAGTACTCTGTAGCTTTTCTGCTTCTTCACTTTGACAAGATGAAGAGTCGGAGGACAGTGACGTTTTTTTTCTATTAGTAGCAGGGCTATAAAAATATACAAAGGTAAAATGTAAATCAATACAATTACTCTAATATGTATAGAAAGTTAAAGACTACATCAGACTTTATTGGTCAATCTATTATATAAAAACGTTAGAGAAAAATACAATACGTGAAGATTTTAGAGAGTGAAGTTTTTGCTGAAATCATAAGCATTCTGTGAAACAAGACCTGTTAGAATATTAGGAAAGACAGCTCAGTTTTCACCGAGACTATCTTTATAGTAATAAATTTACAAAGTCCTATAGATTAATATGGAGACAAATGCTGACCGACCAACTGGTTTCAACATAAAACTTGGCACAGAAGTAAAGCAGTTCGAGTTAACACTCTCCATGTAGCACACAAAGAAAGAGACAAAAGAGAGCAAAAAGAGATTCGAAACAACCGTAATTAGCAGAAATGTGAGGGTAAGGACTGGTAACATGGAAAACCATTAGGGTGTTATTGTATATATGGCAGATCACAGAGAGTGAATGCATCTATGTCAATGAGAACGATTTTGAGTCACACTGCCAACTGTCTCTAGCCATTGGTTTCTTGCATCCTGAAGACCTCAACCAGGTAGTCTACAACGCTCAATGTGGCTCAAACTAATTGTTAAAGATTTCATTGACTGATTCCATGTTTTAGTCTGACCACCACTACTAGCTCTTGTCCAACCTCACATTATGTCAGCTAACATTTTCCGTTGAGGAAGTCTACGACTGGGAGGAATGCGTAGTACATGTCTTAACCATCTGAATCGATGCAGTTTCACAACCTCATCAAAACTAATGCAGTGAAGCTGATTAGCAGCCATGAAGTAGGGAAATCAAGTTTATTAGAACTGCATTACCTGTGTAATTCGTTTTTAGGTTTTCCCGTCAATTGATTGAACCGAAGTGCTCGGCCTCAGGTTGACATGTCCACTCCTTATACAGATAATTCGACGATGTCAGGGCATGTCAACCTGAGACCGACCACTTCGGCCCAATCAGTCGATGGGGAAAATCTAAAATTCAATAAAATAATGAATATGACCCATTGCACAAGAGATGGCTCTCGTAGCCCAAGTGGTCTAGTGGATAGTGCTTTTGCGTTTGAAACTATGGGCACTGGGTTCGAGCCTCACGGGGAACATCATCACTCTCTGAGGAATGCAGGTACACTTAGTTGACGAGTCCTAAGTATGACGAAATGTACATCGTGGATTCCATTGCTGGTCACCACCCACCAATTAACTATATTACCACTTAGAATAATAGTTTAGTGCTTGATGTCTGTTATACCGTTCCACGAAATCTACGCCTAATGATCTTTTATACAGTTTAAATTGAGAGGAAAATGCTTCAGAAAAGATAAAAGTCTGCACAATGTTTGACTATATTTCAGTCAAAATAAAACCATGCAAAATTCCGATACACTATGTGTAAAATCCTAGAGTAATTAACATGTTAAAAATGCTGATTGACTTGAAAAGTTCACTAAATACTTGTTAAATCAACATAAACAATTTAGTAAGGAATGATAGAGTCTGGTAATACAGTCACAATTGTTTACCCTGTCATTGCTTTCAAACTGAAAAAAACATGTGTACAAAGATAATAGTTTCCTACTTTAAATAATGCTTATATATTTCATACATGAACGTAATGCCTGATTTTGTCTATAGTTCAAATTCGTAAGTTGAATTTTGTGAAAATAAATATGACTTTTTTAGTTAGCAAAGATTAAGAGTACTATTAAAATAACATGATAATAATATATATTATCATAAATTTCATATAAAGAAAACTTTTGGAAAAAACTCCATTATGGATAAGATTTTATTTTGGATTTATCAAAACAAAATCTTATCCATAATGGAGTTATGCTCTCTACCACAGTGCCTAAGTTTTATACTTATATTTTATAAAAAAACTACCTCAGATACGATATGTGTATCTACCTTGAAACTTATTTCAAGTTTGATCACGAACTGATTTCAGTTAGAGAACAACGGGACAAAAAAACCAGGAGTGCTAGGTAGTAGTTTCTTCCATGCTTGGGACTCTTCTAGCAGTACACGTACATGACCCTGCCACCAGGAGTCAAACCAAGGACTTCTAGGTCACGGTGCGAGCTCCTGCACCATTCAGCCACTGAGATGTAATCCAATGGCCTACAAATTCTAACTTTTGCCGATTTGGGACTTTTAACACCACCGCCAACCAATATCATCTGTAAGTTCTCACACACTCGACTCGGTGGAGCCCATTAGTCGAAACTTCTCACTAGAACTCCTCCAGGCAACTTTAGTCTGTGATAAGTTACTAGTGTGGTTTAACTTAATTTTTAGATGTTGGTCCTCTAACTGAACTCAGTTCATGATGAGTGTTCAACTAAATCCTAGCTCCAGTTTTATATCAACATCAGAGTTAAAGATACAGCTAATATAATCAAAAAGTGACCAATTTATGAAAATTAAACATTGTTTATATTCTATGACCTCCAGTGCTATGGGGAATTAAATGATTAAATTCCAATTATTATGTAAAATAATATACACTTAGCATATATATATATATATATATATATATATATAATTTGTAGATAAAGTGAATCTGAGAGTAACACAGGCACACAAAAGTTCAAAATGTTTAACATCTTATCAATAAGAATAAAACATATAAGCCGTATAATACAACAAATTGGAACAAAAATTACTGTGTTTATACCCATGGAGACAAAATCAATTGACGAGTAGATTATACTACGTTTATCCCGTAAAAAACCTTGTGTACTGTTTATAAAATATTATTGATACTTCTCAACCTACATGGAATTAACTACGCAGTTATTAGTTTGCTACTTTTTGTGATAAGATGTATAAATTACAAGGCGTCTATACACGAACTAAACAATTTCAATTTTAATCAATTTTAATGCTGGCGAACTACACGTCTACACAACCGATGGTGCTACCTCGAATGAAAGATGAAGTACCTAGACTAACCACTTCAAATTGTATCTACCAATTCAACTGCGCTGATGGTGGAGCGAGTTAATATTGGCCGTTGCTCTAGGAACTTGATTTTTCGTGCTCACTCGCGAACATCTCCCACTAAGGCTAAGTAAACGTGTAGTTAAAACCATTAACAGTTCGATATTGGACCATCTGGTGCGAACCGGCCACAAAGCCAGCCACCATTGAAGAATCCGTCTCTATAATCTACCGGGTGCCTAATAAATTGCCAAAATCATCGAAGCAACGCAAGCTCCAAATAGCAGAGGCTATTGCAATTTGACTCAAACAACCAGTGCTCTGTGTTCAAAAGAAGCAAGTCCAGCCCCTACTACTGCCTTGGCATACAACAGAGACTATAAATTCATGAATTTCCTAATTTTTCTGACATTCAGCTTATTTTATGTTGATGCTATTGAGCTGTAATCTATCAATATTATTGATTCGATGTTATTTAAACAGCAACATTAATGTTGTTCATAACACTAATTGATTCATTCACTATAATGTATATATAACTGTAAAGCCTGATGATGAAGTTATAGAAAAGAGTACTCTTTGTTCAGTATCCATTCTTTCAACAATTTGAAAATCTTAATTATATTGGCAGTACTCGGGAACACCTGACTGGGTGAAGGTATAGCAAAAAACCACCAACAAATCGATATTAGATCATCTTGTCCATAGTGCTGAAGATTCTTTTTCCATTACCTACCACCAGGTACCAAATAAAGTGCCAGAAGACTCTAAGAGTACTGAATAATCCAAACAGCACAGCTGAAGGCAATTCCCTCTATGTGTAAAAGAAATAGCCACTGTTGCTATGGTACCTACAAATTCATAAATTCTATATCACTTCTTAATCTGTTTGATATTCAGTCTCATATTGGATTTATATGCATATTATAACTCATAGATACATTTGAACTGTAATTTAGACCATCAATAAAATGATCCAGTGTTATTTTAAAACATTGTTTTTAATAACACTAATTCTTGAATTATTATTGACATATACTTGTAGAACCTGATCAAGAAGAAATTATCGAAAAGAATATTCTTTATTCACTAATCAGATTTTGAATGGAGATCTTTAATCAACCAGTTACAGTTCCCAAACATGCATAAAGTGTGGAATTCCTCATCAAAACGTTGTTTTATGCGAAAGTATTGATGTTCCATTCACTAAAAAACCATGTGACACTTCTGTATGTATTTCGTTTATTTTATTATACCAAGTTATTCTGTCACTGTGAGCCCGCTATCTGAACAGTGTTCATATTCAGCTTATTATAAGATACTAGTGTTAGCGCAGATGAGGAGCTTAATCTATTGGCCTGTGATCAATGTAACTTCTAAAAGATAGTACGAAGATCAAGAAAGATGAATGTGCAGGAAGTAAAAGTGTATACATCAGTCTTCTGAATGGATTAATATAGTCACTGATTACAGGAAAGTGTCATTGCCACTGTTTACATCTGATGACCAGCAACATAATTCAGTCGGTTCATTAGGGTCAATAAAATGTGTTTTCATAGTTTCTGCGAAACAACTATACTATAAATCATTTGCCACTAACAAATACGCTAAGTCATACAGTAAGTTAAGATACCTCCCACTGATAACTGCTATCTTGTCGCGGTGGTCAGGTTTGGATATCACAGTGACCCAAAAAGCTACACTGGTTGAAACCTATGTTCCTACAGTTCTTACCATACCAGTAAGGCTGTTTGGATAGTCGTTAAACTAAAAGCAGTTATCATGACGTACATGACCTCCAGAATCCAAACATATTGAATAGCGTATGAATCTGTATTGGTCACCTACAATCATGGGAGCGTATCTCTTGAAGTTGCTCTGCTGCCTTGTGGATGGGACTACAAGTCAAAGGCTCGGACGGTGGTCCTTTAAGACGGTCTGAGCACTCGGGCAGTATCTCAGCCCTCTTCTTATAAATCAATAGGAATGTTAGGTCCTCAGGTACTTGAAATTAAGTGTAATTACTACATTCAAAATCATCACCGTTTATTTCCAGAAATCTTACTGGATAACCAAGTTCTCAGAATAATTTGTGAAACTATCACGTCAGCCACCAAATTTACTACAGTAGATAACATACGTTACGTAGTCCTAGGTTATATATAGTCCTCTGTTCACAGTTTAAACATCAAAATCCGTTGTTTTTATCTAGCAATATTTTGTAAACAGAGATATATTTGCGATGTCTGCATTACTCTATGGTCACTAATGCTCTTAACCCTCGTATTTGAACGTCAAATAAAGTGGAAGTTAAGAAGGAAAGTGTATAAAGACCGAAATTTTTAAAATGCTGCAATACAAAGAAAGAAATATTATAATATACCTACGGGAACGAATTTTGTGTCTGAGCTATACTATCCGTTGTCTCTAAGGTTAGATTTAAATTGTCGAAAGGAATTCACTTGAAAGAATCACACTAACAGCCAGTAACTTCGTGGGCTGATAAAATGTCTACATTATCTCTACTTTGGATGGCATAGTATGCTAAACCTCTGCCAAGTAAGTCTTATTCAATGCCTTCATGAGGCGGACGTGTTCCTGAAAAAAGTAAAAGCAGCAAATGTGAACGCTGGCGCTTAAAACCGGAGTGGTAGATATATGCTGGTCTATCTAGAGGAGTTGGAAAACCCTGAATCCAAACCTAAAGCGTATAGACGTATAAGCGTATTCCAGGTGCATAAAGCAAGGCATGCTGGTTTGTGACTTAATCGATTGAATTAAATGTTTCAACCCAATATTTTACGCCTAACATCTATGTTGCACATACAATGGTCCTACCGAGAAAGAGTAATGATATGAAGGGAATGGTGGTCACATACTTTGAATTCTTCGATAGATTACGATTACTGCAGATAACAGCCAATTTTCGATAAACCATAGAATATATTGAATACGACGTAAATGGGGTGATTTCTCTAGAACTAAACGAGCCTTTATATACTGGCTGAAGTGTTGTTAGCCTTCAATACACTAGAACCAGTGTGAATTTTCCGATGAGTAGTATGGAGAAAGCACTTAACTACCACACTCTTTATATTTGGATGGGTTATTCAAGCAGTCAAGTTTTAAAAAAAATTTCAGGACATGAGAAAGACATGGAGTCGGAGGAGCGAAAGAAATCTATTCAGTTTTTAAAAAAGGTTAAGAGGCAAACGTACATAACAATGCTCAACAGCACAATAAGAGGTATTCAATAAAAGGCTCATGTACAAGTGACAACAGTCGAGTCAACAATATCTCAACACTCGAGCTTAAAAATAAACAGTTAAAAATCAAGCTGGAAAAAACGGTTGATCAAACAAGAAATTAGATCATACAATTCAGAGAGAAATACCTTAGAAATACTCAAGAAATGTAAGTATAATTAATTTATGTATGAAGCAGGACTGAAGATGATACATAAACTGAAGTAGGAAGCACTAAAAATCAAAAACCCTATCCAAGCACTTCTATGTGCATATATCAGTTGACCTGCTGCTGTGAAGCCAGGTACATCGGTCGTTCGACGCGCACCCTGTCCAAGAGGATTCAAGAAGATTATCCAACATGGTTGCGAAAAGGCATTAGTGGTGCAATAAGGAGTGTGATAATTGAACACTTGGTTAACACTGATCATTCCAGCTCAACAAATGCCTCCTTCAAAGTAATCTACCAAAGGTAATACGGTTTCGTCTTCTTTGTATCGCTGAAGCTCTGGCCATTCCCATAGAAAAACCGGAGCTGTGCATACAAAAGAGGATTATTCAACCACTTCTACTGTCATGGTAACAACTTTTTGATTTTGGTGACTTAATTTTGTTTCTTTGCCTGTTCTTTAATTGCTCATAATTCTTGTATTCATTGAGGACTCTTACGTAATTTCGTATTATCTACTTTGTTTCTATGTGCATTCTGATTAAAACTCACTCATCAAACTATTCATATTATTACATAACTTCTTTTTTAACAACTGTTTGTGACAACTCATCACCTTTGTTACTACCTTAATTTCATTAACACCTAATTTTCTTGACTGATTTTGTATTACGTAACTCCAAATACCAATCTTCACCTGTTTAGTTAAAATAACCATAACCAATTGTATTTTTGTTTGACAAACTTAATGTACACATACACACAAAATAACACATACATATTTGCGATTGTACAGATAAGAAAATGAATTCGCCGAAAAGAGACTCTTCGCTGATCTACGGTGTTTTGTTTTCATCAATAAAACTACCAAATTTATTCATAACATGACCTGCAAATTTCTACTCTATACATCCTAAACTCGTATGGATTTGAAATTCAATAACTAATATATTTTTTCAACTGCTGACAGTTCAAAAAGACGACAGTTTATGACACTGTTACATATCAAAAGAAGTGTCTTGAATGCACCTAATACACATTAACGAGTGTGATTTTATGATTATGACGTATTAAATATAAAATAATTGATTCAGAAGCAGAATCAGATGTCGGTGAACTACGATTTCTAGACTGCCTCTAGTTAACAGGAGGAAAAACAAACATTTTAGTATATCCATATTCAGGAAGAAAATCCACTCCAATGAATATTTAGACTTTGGATCATCACACCCCCATCAACACGAAGGTACCAGTTGTTTCAAGTCTTCTTAGACGAGTACACTCTTTGATAACGGATGATAAAGAAAAAGAAGAAGAAATATCAAACATTACTGAAACTCTTAAGCAAAACAACTACCCAAGAAACTTCATCAACAAAATCAATACAGATATCAAGTATGGCCGACAACGCATTCCGAAAACATGGACATCAACAGTTGTCATTCCACATAGAGCAGAGACGTCAGACGATATCAGAAGAGTACTTAATAAGCTCGACATCGGGGTTTTCTTCACAACATTAGACACAATGCGAAGCAACCTTGTCCGTATAAATCCTTAAAGATTCTCTATCTAATTGTGTCTATAAAGTAAAACGCTTGGAATGTGATACGATGTAAATCAGACAAACATCGCCAGAAATCAAAATCAGAAGAAATGAACACCGTAGAGCATCTGTTCGACCACCGAGAAATCCAGTTGAATCAGAAAAGCTTGAAAAATCATCAGCCGTAAGTCTACACGCTATAGAATCCGGTCACACAATTGATTTTGATAATATTGAAATAATCCACAAAAATTTCAGAAATCACAAAGAACGTCTAATATCATCAGAAGCACCTCGTATCAAATGGAATCCAAATTGTTTGAATAAGAATGGTGGACTAAAACAGAATTTGACCAGGTTACAACACCCCCCTCCCCCATGAAGTGGTAAAATCAACACGAAGGTGATAAGCAATTTCATTATGTAAGTAAACACACGTTGCTTTTACAATTTTACACACTTATCAAATCTAACAATCTACACCTGGTTTTGTTATCTTTACCAATTGGCCAATTTGACAACGCAAAAATGACCCCATGCTGAGGAACGATGATTAACTTGTTATATATAAGCTGAGATTTGATAAATTCTGGTTTAATAATACTTTGATAAAGCTAGTGGCATTAAATAGCGAAACGTCAGTAAAAACAACAATATCTTTTGTTTTTCATTCATTGGGAAATACAAAACCTTTATTATAATGAATCATTGAATATGGTTATGTGCATACTTAGTTTTGTGTTACAAAATGATTAAAAGAAACAGTCTTATCGATACCAAAGTAAAAATAAGACGTCAGTAAGTAATACAAACAAGTGTAATTATGGAGACCAGTTTCAAGCGTAAAATGCATATTCAAATTAAAAAGTGATGACAGAAGTCAAGTGTTTCCCAAGTATGCTGACTTCTCAGTCTGATGAGGAGACACGAGCATTCTGACCTCTCCTAAGGTAGTTCGCAAGAGCTTCATTGCACAAACTGGAACCTGCCAATTCAAATATTTCTATGCGGAAATTGTGTAGCTTATCCGTAGAGGACATTTCCTGAATTTTGTGGGAATTCAAAGAATACAACTTCCACCGTATTGGCAACCAGGAAAGGCCCGTCGCCTTGGTAACCAAGATCCTCTTCGAGATCGTCAGGTAATAAGATGAGCACGTTAACACGAACACGTACGTTGTAATGTACGCCCTACAGTACTTCAAAGTGAAGTAGCGAGTCAGCAATTTGAATATTGCAGTTTCGTTAGCTGATTTTCACACTAAACAATTGGTGTTACTCTTTATATTAGGTATGGTTAGGAGAACACTATTCATGAGAGGCTAGGATCAATTAATCAACAGGGACCTTGACTTTAGCTATATGATTTCTCTCAATTATTGGCATGATATAACTGCAAACTCTAAGGGAGTTAATAAACCTGGGCTGCTCTGTGTCAAGCTATTTGCAGCAATGTAGATTCATTGCTGCTGTACAACATAAATTTGTACCAGTTTCAAAAAAATATAAAAAAAAGATTACCTTAAGAATCTTACAACATCCTTTTCACTTAGTGTTTTCATAGCGCTGATTGAATTCAGTGGAATGCACAAGCCCAAATTAAGCAGTTCTTGAGGAATATTACAACAAGAAAATTCGAAGTTCAGAGGATCACTAGGCGATTTTCCGTCATTATGCTGATCATGACCATCACTGCTATGTGAACTGGCCAATTTAATTTCACTGTTCACATCATCATCATGATTATCATTACCAGAATGAGAAGCGATATAGGCTTCTTTTTGGGCAACTGCCGTCTTGCTTGCATCGAAACATAACGACTCTGGAGTAACTAACAAGACACCATCAATCAAATTCTGAAAAAACGAGATGAAATCAACATTGAGAAAAATTTTCAGAATGTGGCATGTAATAACATACAACACTACTGACGCTAGCAGATAACAAGTGAATAATATTCACAAATTACCTCAAAATAAAAGATATATCGCCAAACAACTCAGTTACCAATATTATACATTCCGGTCTTGTTTTTCTTATTTTTATTTTTTCGATTACAGCTTGATTCCACACCGTACAGGTATGGAATTTTCAGCATGTGATATTGGCGGCCCAAATTTGTGCAGGCCGACCATAGATATCGGGTGTGCGTCGGCAGGGGATCGAACCCCGGACCATGTGCATGGTCGGCGAGAGTCCTAACCGCTGTGTCACCGACGCACAAATGCTTCTTGATCTATGAAAACAATATAAACACTGAAGTGTATCATATTTCATATCACAAGCATAGGTGACTAGAAATCTTCTAGTTCACTTTTACTCCTTTTGCTCTTCATGAGCGACGAGACACCAACGACACACAATTAGTTCCTTCGTCTATTTCAATTCTTAATTTTGGTTTTGTAAAACTAAAAATTCCAATCAGAAATTGAACATACAATCCTTCTTCACAGTTGATCTTTCTGTGTAACGCAATCCTAAGAGAACTCTAATGTGATTTCGATGACTCAGTTGTGTAGTATTAAGCTGCAGCACTAAGTGATTCGATTTCAAGGGGGTTGAGAGGTGCGATTCATTCTAAGACTTTCACTTATTAAATACGCCCACTTGGCGTAAAGACATAAGCTGCAGATTTTTAATTATAATGTCAAATATTGATGAATCCCAAAGTTAGCATATCGTGAAGGCTACAAATGGACCAACTCGAAGAAATATCAGTACCGTTAAACTAACATTTATGCCTAACTGTTCCAAATCATTCATGACTAAATGTAGTCACTAGGAGACGATGTAACTAATTGTAAAAGACCAACTTCACATCAAATAAATCACAATTAGCATAAACAATCACGCTATAACTGAATGATGATCTCACCCTAAGGCCAGCCTACTAGACATCACTAATTAGAGCTCAATATATTTTTACAGGCATCCACGTTCTACTTCTGTCTGTATGTGATAACTGTGAATCACATAGTCTTTTATACTGACTAGCATTTGATGAGCTACTATACCTAGAAAACTTTCAAGGTGTGAAAATGTGTCTACATATGTGATGAAAAATTGAAACAAAACATAGACTCACGTCAAGATTTTTTAAAACACGATGAGCTTCCACTTTAACAAATTGACGTTCCAAAGCATCATCATCAATGGAGCTAGAAGACTGATTAGAGACCCGTACGCGTGTAGTATAAAAGAAAGGTTCAACAGGTAAATATCCTGTGTCCTTGCTACAAGCATTTTGTTTGTCCGCATCTTTAACGCGCAACGCCACACCTGGAAGACGTTTTATTTTGGTTGACTGAAAAAGGGAATTACAGGAATATGGTATATATATATATGATTATTAAGCAATCATCTGATTGGCTTTTACTTACATCCACCCAACTAACATTATATCACTCAAACGACTGAGTTACTGATATTTATTCTACTAAGAAACATCTAATCTGACGCTTGACTCGGTGGCATATCGCTGATCCTAGGCCCGGAAAAAGAGGGAAGGTTGGGCGTGGGGACAGCCGCTCCACACCGGAAAAACAATCCAATCGCTACAGAAACTTCAGAGCACAGAAAAAAATACAAAAAATATCGGAAAGTCAAGAAGACACTGATTACTCTGAGGTCAATATGGAAATCTGCTGCAATCAGAGTAAGGAACAAGATTCGAATTTTCAACACCCACGTCAAATCAATGCTTTTATATGGTTCATAGATATATTGCGTGCGTCATAAAGAGTGTTTCTGGCAGGTTGCAGACTTTCCATGGCTCGATAATGAAGATCGGATGGCTAACCAGATAAGATGGCCTCCAAAGCCTCAGGATGGTCGGGGGTGGGTGTCTTGCGCTGCGGGTTGCCACCCCTCCGCACACCTCTTGAAATGCTCCCATATGACCGTGGTCTTACAAGCCTCTCCTGAGGAAGTCCTACTCACTGCCTTCACGTGGGAGTTTTTTCCGAGGAGGGAAAGGGGCCGGCTCGGGTCTGGGGGGAACAACAGGACCCGGCCCGGGGGGTTTGCGTCCCAAAAAGGAACCCCGAGCCCCCCCCCCTTGGAAGAAAAAAAGGGGGGTACAAATAAAATAACCAGATAAGATGAGAAACCAGGATCTCTGGGAAGTTAACAACCAAGAACCTATTGCCCAACAAATATGCCGAAGTAAATGTAGATGGATCAAACACATGCTGAGACTAGTGAATTACATTGTAACGTAATTTTAATTCTCACAATAATTAGAGAGTGCAACAACTAACACATTCAATACTGTAAGTGTTACCAGTTAGAAAATGCTGGGTAAAATTAACTATTGAAGATGAAACTCATAAAAGCTAACTGTAAACGGTTTCATTTCATTCTCTTTCGAATGTTCTTTAATGGATCCGAAAAAAAATTGTATCAGAAAAAATTTGTGACAAAGAATGAAAATGTGAGTTAGTCGTACACATTTGATGCTTGTACAGCTGTGTAGACGATACTGAACATTCTTGATGAATCTGTATCTATGAGAATTTAGGATGCTGATAAACGCTTTACTTATTATGTATTACATGCGGTAAATTAGGAGAACTTTGTAACATAAAGAATTCGCCAAATTTATTTAAACAACAAAAATCACTGGAATTAAAAGCACATTCATTGACGGACTGTCAACTGTTATCCAAATAAATTTCGTTATCTTTTCTGACTATTTCTAAAGTACTGTTAGAACTTTTCAGTCTATGTTCAAAAGATGTACACATCTCAATGTTTACATTCTATAGTACAAGTATGACTACAAAAATGTTAGAAAGTATTCACTAGCTACTATTTCTATAGTTTTATTATCAAAAACAAGATCATTTGCCCTATCAAAGGGATTAAAGGTACGGGCAACTTACGTTACTTTGTGTGCGTGAAGCTACAGGGATTATTAAACGCTGTCCCGGAAAAACAGGAGGAAGGCCGCAACTCATAAGCGGCAGATGATTAATCCTTGCAATCTGAGTGGGAGTAACATCACCAAAATGAGCAGCGATTGCTGACAGCGAATCTCCAGATTTAACCTGTAAGACATATTTTAGAAATGTAGTGCTGGAATTACTTCGTAAACACAGAATTCTTCCGATGACTCTGACATGAATTTACGGGATAATTATACACAGTCGACAAGTAGACAAAAAGACAAAGAAGCTTTTATCGCTTCACATTACTGATCAGCACCAAATACAGAATGCGCCGTTACGCCAAGCACGTGTGAACTAGTGTTTGTTGCTCAGAGTAGTAGGTTGCGTCACACAAATATCGTTTAGTGGTTGGATAGACGATACAACACTAAAATTTAAAAAATACTTGCTTAGTTTACCAGAATATAATATAAAACATATATGTTAAAGATACTTTAAATGCATTCCAAACGAAATTTTCGAACAGTACTAACGGTCTGCAAGTCATATAAGACAACTGTATTCCATAGTCAGAATATTTGTTCAACATAACCACATCTTTGATAAAAATAAATTTTGCGACTTAATAATCCAAAACAACTTAATGTGCTAGACCTTGAGACACACTAACTCTATGAAAGCTTAGGACGATTCTTAGCCACCAATGCAAAAACAAGAAACGAAATTTATGTATGAAACTAATTACTTCGCCAAAAAAATCAAAATATCATTATACACAGTTACATATTTCGGATAAAAGATACAAATTGATCGATTGTTCATCTTCAATTATACAGAGACAAACCGCCAGATAAGCAGTTTGTATAATTCTCAATTTTGGTCAGTTGCTATAACATACAAGTTTTGTATGGAGTTGAGTAAACTCTAACAAGTCTTATTAAATGACTAGTTGCATTACTATATGACATTTTTGGAGTTTATTTTCATGAATGTAGCCACTTTATTCTCTGCACTTGAATAATTTACCTATCACCTACATGTTTATAATATATATGGGATTATTTACACTATAAATCAAAATGTCGGATAGAACTTCAACCTTTATTATAAAGTTACATAGATTCCTCTAGTTCCCCTTACTTCAGAACATTGTGGGTGCTTGACCGTTGGACTACGTAACTGAACTTATTTCCGAGTAGTTCATAATGCGTTTACAACAAATTTTATAGTTTCGCTCCTAGAATGATCGGTCACAGTGTTCAGGGATGTCTAAAATCATCTCACACTAGAAAACTCGTCTTCTCCAACTGTTTTATTGGGCCACTATAGAAGATGAGGTTGCAAGCACTAATGACTTCCTTCGTCGTTCCTAAGGTGGGGGTATAAACTTATATTTGTATCGACTACTTGCTAGTCAATATACCAAGCAACTGTAATACATATCCTCAATTAATAAAAATTATATCTCAAAAATATAGTGTGCTGTTATCTGTAACAAACGTAGAAATGAATGATTTGTGAGAAGCAGTAGAAATCATGTTGATACGAGCGGTGTACTGACCTTTGAGACTACTGGCACGATAGGCAACAGAGAACAAAGATCTTGATAATCATCCTTGCTCGTTCGTTACATCCCCCTACGTACTTATCTACTGCAGTCTGCAGTTCCATAAGATGTTTACAAATAGTCATACCAGAAAATGAAAACTGTTCATTTAGTGTCCAAATGAACCAAGAAAGCATCTTAAATATAGAAAATTCACTCCCAACCAACTAACAATAGTCACCGCCTCCAAAGCCTCAGGATGGTCGGGGGTGGGTGTCTTGCGCTGCGGGTTAGCCACCCCTCCGCACACCTCTTGAAATGCTCCCATATGACCGTGCGTCTTACACAGCCTCTCCTGAGGAAGTCCTACTCACTGCCTTCACGTGGCGGAAGTGTTTATTTCACCGAAGTGAGAGGGCAAAAGCGGATGCCCGGCGCTCTTCACCGGGTTGACTGTCCATTGGATGACAGTCTAGGGGAGATGGCTAAACCGTGATTCCAAACCTTCAACGACTGGCGTATGAAGCTCACCGGAGTTCACCGGCAGACGTATGGACAGAGGGCTTGTTGGATGCCCTGGATGTCTGGCCCCATTCAAAAAGGCGTATGAACCGGACTCCGGTCACCGGCTGCCAATGGATAGTGGACTCCCTACTCCACTCCTACTGCCTTGTAGGTCACACTTGGCTGTGTAAAGGCTAGAGCTGTACTCTCAAACAAAAGGCCGAGCGATGCTGGGGACATCACTCGTACCCAATTCCCATGAAACTTCATCAACTCTCTTACAAACATTCGAGATGTTCATGAAGCCGGTTCATCCTCCCGTAGGAGATAGCCGAAGTAAAGTAAGTAAGTAACAATAGTCACCACCAGGTATTAACTCCTTCCATCAATCACATGTTCCTAAGAATTTCTCCTGGTGGCAGCAAAGATCATGCCATATAGACTATACTGCTGTAAGCCATCATTGAAGACAAACGTATGGAGATCATTAGTTCATTCTGAAAATCCTGCTGGAAGTTTGATTATACATTCATCTGTGTACTTATGCACCCATAAGGAATGAATGCACATTTGTAGTTTTGATTGCCCAATTTACATATGAGAAGTGAAATCTGTAATCAGTGAGCATAATGGATACTCGTAAAAACCAAAAAAAGATTCAGTCTGTGGTAAAACCAGTGACAAATGCAGTTGATAACGGATAACCGAAACTGGGTAATCAACAGGCCTTACTACTGGTTGTCTAACTATGCAGATGTGGAATAGTATGACTTACAATAGGTAATTTAATCTGCTTGCATTTTGCGAGAACATCTTGATCAAGAATGAATTCAAGAGAGAAGTTTGCAACTTTTTGAAGCTCAGATCTCCATAATGTCAAGTAGTAACTACAGGAGATGGTGGAACACATCGATGAGCTAAATCACAATATTCACGTCAGAGTTCTGAAGCCTAGTAGTAGTATTCTACTACATGGAAACAGTAGAGCTACAAAACGGTCTGACTGACTGGATTCACAACAACGAACATACACATACAACCAACACTTTTTGACTTATCAAGAATACTAACGTCGTAACCTACACCTTACTGCATCAACAACCTGAGAGTCAATGCTTTTGTATCATTTCTTTCTTAACACTTCTACACCCCTTTCCAGCTAATAAGGTTCACTTCAAACAGCAGTGCCACGAAGTATGTTTAAAACTTAAGTTGATACAGATTCATCTTACTGACTAGTTTATCTTCCTTGCATCACATATCCTTGAAGGAAAAATGGAAATACTTCGCACATTCAACAGCGCATTCAAGTCTGTAATGGAACATTACTATTTAGAAACACTTTCAAAAGCATGAGAATAGAATGTGTCCACAACCAGTGATTAAGGATGGCACCCCTTACTGAAACTGAAGGCTGCAGTTCACATTCATGCAACTATCAAGTGAAGCCTACGGAATTTGAGTTTTACACACAAGTAGTTGTATCTACTTCTTTGCCAATATAAAGTACTTCTTAGGCAACCTCTGGAGGGCGCAAATAAATAGCTTAGTGTATCATGACAATGTGGTCCTAAACTGAAATTCTGTTGTTTGACAAATTCCAACAGAAACATAAAAACATCTAATTTTGTTTACAAGTTGCTACAGCGAATCTCAGTTTGCAAAGTACCATTAAAAGGAACTTCGAAATTACTGTCAAACTAATTATACGCGAATATAGGTGAAATCTACCGTTTACCACCACTTAAAAGCTTGAAAATATTAACATTACCAACGATGGTAAACTGAGAAATTCTACATCCCGCAACCGCCTCACCTTCAATTTCCAATCATAGACTTTCAAAAGTAGATAGCTAAAACTAAGCCAAGTTCAAAATTGAAGCTTCATGTAGCATAAATAGTGACCTGAGTAATTTTTAGTCCTTAGCATTCTTTTTCACTGTATATTTTCCCTTTTATAGTTTACTGGCTATGGGGCAACTGTTTGTGATATTTGACAATGGCATATAATTTCACAAAATCTAAGCCAGAAGTTGCTATTTGACGCTTATCACTGGCGTTCTGGTGAATTAGTCAAGGCGAAAATAGCAGTCATCCTAGTCAGTGTAACTTTACTCCTTGAAGTCCATTAAATAGAAGGTACTGCTGCTTCTTATAATTATTTCTGGCAGCTGATTACCCTTTATAGTAGTCTATATTCTACGCTGGCTTGAAAACTTTCGTAAGAGCATTCTGGATAGGACGAAATGCATAGGATGTTAACAACCAGTTATTCCATAGATACGTCAGAATAAGATTGCCACTCTGCTTTTGCGCCATAAGGAAGCAAAACTTCTCACCCCACTTTCAACGGGAGGCGTTAGGCCTATTTAGATAACCTAGATCTGTCCTTAGAATGTGCCGTTGTTCTGTGTGTGGCATGCATACATTGAGCAAAGGACCTCAATTACGTTCCCATTAAAGTATTCGGAGTTATTTACAAATGACTAAAGTATTCTGAATTCTTGGTTTTCAAGTGCATTACAATGTACCCTATAGCTTACATGACTGAGGATAACTAAGTTCTTTAATTCCCTGTGGTAAGAAGACACTTTTCCACCCAGAGGACACACTAAGTAACTGTACTCATTAAGGTAAACTACAGTTTTTTTCACTTTTTCATCATTAACACCATTTAATTCACCTTACCAGTTTGGAGAATTTATTTTGCTTATATTATTGATAATTGCTCTCCGAATCCTGGTAATAATTAAAACCAGCAAAAGTGATGGATTAGGGATTTTTCCATTCCCGTAATACTTTTGTATGAATGATGAAAGGCCCAGAAGGGTGCATTCAGCAGCCTCACCACATTCATCTTTCACCCAACTAGTACCCCATTTTCTCACTAAGGTATTTCGCAGGGCCTCTACAACATAGTGTTATGATCACCCAGGTGTACTAAGTAATTAAGGAGTTCAGAGCAATAGGATGAGTAACAAAGTAGGAACTATATGTTCCGTAGGATTTGCAAGGCTTTCTTTATTTACTGAATGATGAATGACCTTGCGTTTGTTTGACTTGGTTTTCCCCCCACCTAACTTGCCTCCTACCATGCTTTCGAAAATAAGGTTCATAAGCATCATCAGTCTTCTACATTATTAGAAGTCAGTGGCCAGTAACCTGAACAATCAGACTGATAGAAAATCCTGTTTCTAAAATACTTTAAGTCATTCACAAATCATTACTGGTGTACCTTTTGGGCTTTTTCTGTAGGCCTTAGTAAGATTCTTCGTCCTTGGGTGCGATACAGATTCAGCGAAGTAGACAGGTGTTTGTAGAGAAGACTTCAGGTTGAGCTTTTAAAGCAGTATGAGTAGATATGCACTGCGTTTCTTCATTTAAAGCAGCCGAAAAATTCCAGTCAAGTTCTAACACTGGAATTACCATGTTACGTGATTGAATTACTACACCTGACACTACACTAATTGCGAAATTTTTCAAAATACTTGCCACCAGGAGCCTTGGATGTCAAGGTCTTGTGTCCAGTCCCAAATGTTGCTCGTGAGCTCAACATACTGGAATTCTAGTGGATTAGATTCAACCATGTCAATTATATGAATATTATACCGATGCGTGCCACAGTAATAAGTCACGATAATCATTTTCACGACGGTTATCAGCATCCCTTGCTTCACACTACGTTTTACTTTTCATTAATTCGTAGAAATCTCATTTGACGATTTCTTTCGGAATGCCACTGTCACAGACTTGTAATTCAACTCACTTGAGTTTATTTCAGATATCAACCTCTGGAAAGCTGCGAGAACCGAAATGCATGTTGTATATTTTAGCTTGTTCTGGACCATAAGCTGTGTATGCGTTCATTTCAACTGTGAATTAACTTGCGAAATAAAAAATCAGAAAAGCTTCTGGAGCAATCACTTCATAACAACGACACCCGTATATAAACTCTAAGAGACTTGAGTCATCTGGGAGATTTGAACCCGTGTCGTAGAGAGCTGCATTAAGGAAGTCACCACTTGTGACTCGGGAAAACTGAATGGCTCCTGCCAAACTTTAATGAATACATTGACTGGTTGATCAATATAATTGTCTCAAGCCTTCCATCACTGGTAAACGTCGGATAAAATGACTAATTATCAGTCGTATCTCATTTTCATGTATTAGGAAAATAGTTTACCCTCAGGCGTGAAACTACTGATTATATACTATTACAAACAAACTAACAACATTTAGTTTCTAATTCTGTCCTCACAAGATTCCTGAATATAGTCTCTTACCACTTTCTCAATCCTAAATTACCTTACTTAGCCATGAGCACTGACTGGAAATCATCAGGAAATCTAATAAAATGGAGAAATATAGTTTCCATTGGACCCTTAGAATCAACTCTCTAGATCCGATCCCTTCTGTCAATAGGAATTAAGTCATGAAAAAATGATAAAAACTGAAACCATGGTGTTCTTCTACCAGATGTTTGTTACTATCAGTATGCTGAACATAAACGGATCGGGATCGGTGAGCATTTGCATATTTCATCATTTTTTCCTATTTCAACGGATACACATCAACTGTGAAAGCATGGATAACTTTTAATTGGATAAAACAGAAGAAACTTCTCCACCCCCTCCTACTACCGTGGGTTTAATTTCAAGTTCATCTATCATCAACATTTTGTTATCAAACATTTTTTGCAATATTCGTATAATAATTTTTAGTAACTAACCCATTCAATCTTTTCAACTATTATCTAGTTTATTTTCATATTTGTCTCCAAACTCCTTCACAAAAACAGTTTGACACATCTCAGCCTTAGTCTTGTTATCATCAAACAGACCTGTCGACACTTCATCAAATACAAGAGTGGGAATGATGAAACCCCCTGGTTCTTCTCTTGGTATATGAAAAGTGTATTAGGACAGCACTGTGACATATTATCCGGGCATGACTCGTTTTGTATCTAAGGGTGATGAGTCAGGGCCTTGATTCACAGTGTGTTTGCTATAAGTGTCATGAACCGCTATGGATGAAGAGACCCAAAAACACTTACAGCCCATATAGGAGCATCGCAACCTGTTTATTTATACACAAAAGACGATTCCTCAAAATATTAGGATCCACATCAGGGAAGGATATGACCGTGCTCATTCCAGGTGTAATCGTGTGTCAAGGAAGTTGAAGATTGAACGATCAATTCATGGTTGTTTGCTCAAACCCAACCCCTCCATATTTTTCGCGGGAGTCATCAACCTAGCAGTCATCGTCCCATCGTTCGCTGTTCGGGGAAGATACAAAAACTATCAGAAGTATTATCATGATTTATTGTTATAACATTTATTCTTAGACCTTGTGTAATAGCCTTATTGTTGGTTACATGTTGGCGTAAGAACAAAGGATTCTTGAGTCGCCAATCAGTGTTCTGGTTTTCGCGTTGGTTAATACAAAGTGTTTCTGAAAGTCTTTCAGGGACAGCGTGAGGTCCAGCGTAGTAAGAGCTGGACACTGACAGTTTTTGAGAGTTGGCTGACAGTTTCTGATAGTATCTCATAGTTTCTGTTCGTCTTTCCTGGTGTCTGCAAGTCTTCTTTAGACAAGTATTATCTGGAACTTTTCAGGAATTTTGGTCAAGCTCAATGATGCCTGGGTCAAAGAAGGGACAAAGCGTCTTGGAAGCAAGCAGGAAAGTAAGTGATGCTGAGTTGCTTGTTAATTGTAATGATATGTGTGATGCTCAGCACGGTGAGTCTGTTGTTCATGTTTCGCAGCCTTGGGATAATAGGCCTAAATTTGAACCTCGGTGTTTTGACGGAAACCCAGCAGATTACTTACAGTTTGTAAAGGAGTTTGAAATCATGTTGAGTAGTTTTTATTAAATGATGAAATGAAGTTGATGTATTTGATGAGGTACTGCACTTGAGTTGCTTCAAGAGCTATGTAGTGCTGTAAGTTCATGCCCCCTAACGAAGGATACTCTGGGGCTATGAGTATACTGCGTCAAAGATTCGGAAAACCTTCGATGATTGCAAGGAACGTATTCGTGGCTGTTAAAGGTAATGGTAGTCAATTACAAGATGACTCCAAGGCACTCTCTGAGTTTTTGGATAATCTGATGACTTACAAGAATACGTTGATTTCGACGAATTGCATGAGTGATCTGAACTCAAGTTCCGTCTGGAGGCAATAGCGTAACGCCTACCTACTTGACTGCAAAGGAAGTGGATGAAGATAAGCTCTCGCATAGAGGATGAAGATATTGAGCCAAAGCTCGATGACATTCTGAAACTGGTAAAAGAAATTGTCAGTCAAGCTATGAGCAAGTTTGCCAAGTTGTGAGACAAACACGGTTGTGTTTTACACGTTCGTAAGAAGTGCATACAAAGGTGAACCGTGAATCAGTGGGCAAGTTTAGTGGTAAGGTAAATGTGAAATCAAGGTCTGACTGGGAATTGTGTGACGATAGGGGTGCAGTGGAGAAGCCTGTAATTGCAACTGGTAGGCCATTGTTGGATGAAGTGTCACAGACGACACCGTAGATCGTGCAGAATAAGAGGGTGACAGTTCAGGGTCCAGTACTGACTCCACAAGTTTTCAAAGTATTACTAGTCAGAGTAAGGGTATAAAACCTTTAAGGATTTGTGAGGGAGAACCCAGATTGTCTACTTCTGTTATTGAAGATTTTGAAAATGAAGCCAACCAGATAGACGATGGTAAAGCGAATATTTTTGATAATGAACATGATACCGCACTTTTGTTTTTGGTTGATCATGATGAGATGAGCGGAATGCGTGCTTCTACTGGGTTGAACAAAGGTTCTGTACACCTTAAACGTGAAGTAGACTTAAAGGCAGATGCGGTTGCAGAATGTGTGGACACTCATGAGACCGTCAGTGTAAATGATCAGCGTGTAGCCCACCTATCATTAGATGCTAATGCTAAACTGGATTTAATAATAAAAGACAGCAGTGGTGGTAATCTTGCAGTTGGACAACTATCTAAAAGCCGAACAAGAACAGCTTCTGATGCACCGCTAAGTTCATCAACTTGTGTCACTCAGTCGGCGTTGGTGTTGTCATGATCAATGAAGGGACGTCCATGAACTAACGTGTTTTATGCTATGACTATGCTAGTATCGGTTCGTGCGAAAAGGCGAAAGATATTGGTCAGTTTAGTGAGGACAAGCCAAGTGTGTATGAGTATGCAATTGTTAAACTGACTTGCACAAATAAAGGCATTTCAAGTTTCAAATTACTATTTGAATGTGATTATCTTCGGTGTAAATTGCTCTGTACCTACGCTCGGTTGGTCAGATACGTCATATGTTTGTTAGTCATCTATATTCTACGACACAGTGACATGGGCGTGTCACCGTTCAGAGTTGAGGATATAGATGAAAAAAGGAGGTCAGCAAATGAATCCACAACATTTCATGTATTGATTGTAAATATGTTTGTGTTAAATAATTGTTGGGTTCCAATTAATGTAATTGTGGTTAATCTTGTTTGTGTCCGGACATTCTTCAACTTACAACCGTCAACTTGAGAAGGGTTGCAGGCGCACTGGTGTAAGTCCTGCAATTCTTCAAAGGAATTGCGCCAAGACATGATCCGCGAGGTTGTGTATATATGTGTGGTGTGTCATATCAGTTGGTGTTTTTGGATTCATTGTGTTTACTTGTTGTTTTCATATCTGGTTGTTATGCATAATTTTGTTAAAATTTTCGCTGTGCTTACTTCTGAAGTTGTTTCTAGTCTTCTACATCCGTGATTGATGTTAAAAACAGCAGATGGGTCATATGCGTCGGGGAGACTAGTGTTGAGAATGACATGCACACGAAGAAAAAGATTACTTATTTTTTTGATTACATCTCGATTCTACAGTATTTTTGGTAAAAGTATGGAATTTTCAGCATGGACATTGGTAGATCAAATTTTGCAGGCCGACCATAGATATCAGGTGTGTGTCGGCAGGGGATCGAACCCTGGACTGTGTACATGATCGGCGATAGTTCTAACCATTTTGCCACCGGCGCACGCTGCGGAATCAATGATTGAGAATGAATGATTCCATTTAGGCTGTGGTCCCACACGCCGGGGAGCGAGAGTGCACACGACTAAGGCTTGCATACGTCACCGTTACTAGAACTGAGGCAGAATGAGTGACAAGCGATCGCAGTGGTAATTGGTAGTGAACAGATAAGAGGATGTGCGAAGAGTATCATGAGGTGCTGCTATGGTTACGTTGAGTTCTGCAGGAGTCATTCTAGCAGTGGCGATTGTGTTGCAAGGTGTCAGAAGATGCCTTTAACTGGAAGGCGTAGGTCGTCATCGATGTGTGGGATTGTGCTGTGAGTATGCTTGTGGTATGTTGGCTTTTCTGTTTGTTTTCCATTTCAGCTCTGTCCGTGTGACCCAGGTTCTCGCAATGGCATCCAAGTCAACGTGTATTGGTCGTGATGGAAAACATGTTTGGATCCGTTTTTTGCCGGGGAGTGTCAACGCAGTTGAAGATTGAACGATCAATTCATGGTTGTTTGCTCAAACCCAACCCCTCCATATTTTTCGCGGGAGTCATCAACCTAGCAGTC